TTTGGCAGTACTGACTTGACTGTAGCGTTGAGTGTAGATGGAATGAATTGCTATGTCGTGTGTCCCGAGTACGTCCAGGCACCGTAGAAGAGGATGGGTACGCACTATCAGCTTCCAGGTCCAGCTTCTGTAGGTGAGCGAAAGATGCAAAAGCACTTCTGCTCTTCGGTGGATGGACGAAATCTTGCACCTCCTGTGCATTCGTACTTCAAACGATTGAGGCATCAAGCCCCGCGCCCCCTGCTTAACATTGGCGGTTAGGACTACTTGAGCGGTGCAAGATTTCGACCATTGGAACAAATCCGGCCGCTAGCTTTTCACAGCCAATGTTAAAAAGGGGGCACGGGGAACGCAAAAAGACATGTCTGAAAAGCGGTGCAAGATTTTGTCCATCCACAGTCCCTAGATGCAACAACACTTCTGCTCTTCTATGTTGTGAGGTTTTTCTGGCTTCAATGACAGTAACTTTGCCGGGATGCCGTTTGCATTCCCACGGTGCTTCAAATACGTGCAAAATAACAGTCAACACTCAGTCAACACTCAGTCAACACTACAGTCAACACTACAGTCAACACTACCAAAACCCTGGGAAAACCAGCAGATTCCACAATTCACTCATTTCAAAGGAAAGTAATAGTATTTTAGCTTCTTAATGTCCAGAACAGCAAAATGCTGGATTTTCCAGCATTTTGGCAGCGTTGACTGTAGTGTTGACTGTAGTGTTGACTGAGTGTTGACTGAGTGTTGACTGAGTGTTGACTGTCATCTTGCATGCGTTTGTTGCATTTATAGGACATACAGCTTTTTCTAGCTTCTCCATGTCCAGAACAGCAAAATGCTAGATTTTCCAGCATTTTGGCAGTACTGACTTGACTGTAGCGTTGAGTGTAGATGGAATGAATTGCTATGTCGTGTGTCCCGAGTACGTCCAGGCACCGTAGAAGAGGATGGGTACGCACTATCAGCTTCCAGGTCCAGCTTCTGTAGGTGAGCGAAAGATGCAAAAGCACTTCTGCTCTTCAGTCCCTAGATGCAACAACACTTCTGCTCTTCTATGTTGTGAGGTTTTTCTGGCTTCAATGACAGTAACTTTGCCGGGATGCCGTTTGCATTCCCACGGTGCTTCAAATACGTGCAAAATAACAGTCAACACTCAGTCAACACTCAGTCAACACTACAGTCAACACTACAGTCAACACTACCAAAACCCTGGGAAAACCAGCAGATTCCACAATTCACTCATTTCAAAGGAAAGTAATAGTATTTTAGCTTCTTAATGTCCAGAACAGCAAAATGCTGGATTTTCCAGCATTTTGGCAGCGTTGACTGTAGTGTTGACTGTAGTGTTGACTGAGTGTTGACTGAGTGTTGACTGAGTGTTGACTGAGTGTTGACTGTCATCTTGCATGCGTTTGTTGCATTTATAGGACATACAGCTTTTTCTAGCTTCTCCATGTCCAGAACAGCAAAATGCTAGATTTTCCAGCATTTTGGCAGTACTGACTTGACTGTAGCGTTGAGTGTAGATGGAATGAATTGCTATGTCGTGTGTCCCGAGTACGTCCAGGCACCGTAGAAGAGGATGGGTACGCACTATCAGCTTCCAGGTCCAGCTTCTGTAGGTGAGCGAAAGATGCAAAAGCACTTCTGCTCTTCAGTCCCTAGATGCAACAACACTTCTGCTCTTCTATGTTGTGAGGTTTTTCTGGCTTCAATGACAGTAACTTTGCCGGGATGCCGTTTGCATTCCCACGGTGCTTCAAATACGTGCAAAATAACAGTCAACACTCAGTCAACACTCAGTCAACACTACAGTCAACACTACAGTCAACACTACCAAAACCCTGGGAAAACCAGCAGATTCCACAATTCACTCATTTCAAAGGAAAGTAATAGTATTTTAGCTTCTTAATGTCCAGAACAGCAAAATGCTGGATTTTCCAGCATTTTGGCAGCGTTGACTGTAGTGTTGACTGTAGTGTTGACTGAGTGTTGACTGAGTGTTGACTGAGTGTTGACTGTCATCTTGCATGCGTTTGTTGCATTTATAGGACATACAGCTTTTTCTAGCTTCTCCATGTCCAGAACAGCAAAATGCTAGATTTTCCAGCATTTTGGCAGTACTGACTTGACTGTAGCGTTGAGTGTAGATGGAATGAATTGCTATGTCGTGTGTCCCGAGTACGTCCAGGCACCGTAGAAGAGGATGGGTACGCACTATCAGCTTCCAGGTCCAGCTTCTGTAGGTGAGCGAAAGATGCAAAAGCACTTCTGCTCTTCAGTCCCTAGATGCAACAACACTTCTGCTCTTCTATGTTGTGAGGTTTTTCTGGCTTCAATGACAGTAACTTTGCCGGGATGCCGTTTGCATTCCCACGGTGCTTCAAATACGTGCAAAATAACAGTCAACACTCAGTCAACACTCAGTCAACACTACAGTCAACACTACAGTCAACACTACCAAAACCCTGGGAAAACCAGCAGATTCCACAATTCACTCATTTCAAAGGAAAGTAATAGTATTTTAGCTTCTTAATGTCCAGAACAGCAAAATGCTGGATTTTCCAGCATTTTGGCAGCGTTGACTGTAGTGTTGACTGTAGTGTTGACTGAGTGTTGACTGAGTGTTGACTGAGTGTTGACTGTCATCTTGCATGCGTTTGTTGCATTTATAGGACATACAGCTTTTTCTAGCTTCTCCATGTCCAGAACAGCAAAATGCTAGATTTTCCAGCATTTTGGCAGTACTGACTTGACTGTAGCGTTGAGTGTAGATGGAATGAATTGCTATGTCGTGTGTCCCGAGTACGTCCAGGCACCGTAGAAGAGGATGGGTACGCACTATCAGCTTCCAGGTCCAGCTTCTGTAGGTGAGCGAAAGATGCAAAAGCACTTCTGCTCTTCGGTGGATGGACGAAATCTTGCACCGCCTGTGCATTCGTACTTCAAACGATTGAGGCATCAAGCCCCGCGCCCCCTGCTTAACATTGGCGGTTAGGACTACTTGAGCGGTGCAAGATTTCGACCATTGGAACAAATCCGGCCGCTAGCTTTTCACAGCCAATGTTAAAAAGGGGGCACGGGGAACGCAAAAAGACATGTCTGAAAAGCGGTGCAAGATTTTGTCCATCCACAGTACCAGTATCAAGCCGACGGTTGCACTGTTGCCTCGATTCCCTGCCTGCAGTGCGTACTTGCCAGCTGTGAGAGTGTGATACTGCTGCTTTTTTGATCTTTTTTGCTCGTACCGCAGTTTCACGGCAAGGCTTGGAGGCGCTTCATAGATTCACGTTGTACGTCCCAATTCCCATTGTGTGTCTCAATCCCCAAAATTTGGGAAAGGCTCACATGGTCCCAGAGTGAAGTCTCCACGTACCTCCGACAAGGAGAACTGCGGCTTTTTTCCCTTGCTTTTTTCCCTTTAAGATTCCGAAACCTTGGCATCTGGGCCTGAAATCCTGAAAAGCCATTTTCCAGGTTAGCGCCATTTCTTGGGCTGAAATCCTGGGTAGAAGGGCTGCGTGGAGAACAGAACGGAAATTTGTCCATGCATCCGATCCGACACCTTTTGCTGATGTGTTCTGGGAGTTGGCTTCAACGACAGCATCTCAACATCTTGAGCGCCTTGTATAATTCGTGAGATTTTTTTTGGGACTTCGAAGAGCTGGACAAATCGCCGAAACATGTTGGCAACAACGGCCTGACCCGGGTTGTGGATTCAGACGGTTTGTTTGCTCTACGATGGCATGCAAAGTCTTGTTTCTGCAGTCGTACGAGAAGTTGTTTTCTGCAGCAACAACAGATGCAGATCATGGAAGATCCTTGAGGTATTCTTCGGAGCAGCAGAAATGGGGATTTCGATGCTGCAAGTTCGGCGCCCGGTTAGCGATCTTCTGAAGAACTCTGGCAAATGCCAAGTTGATTCATGAGATGTCTGTGGTTCAGGCTGAACATTCGCAGTGAAGCTTGCCCGCTTCACGAGGCACCTGGTTGGAGCACTTTGAACTCGGCACGGGTTTGCTTCTTGCCTTGAGGAGCCGGCGGAGAGAGAGAAGCAGGCCAGGTCCGCGCAATTCCGTCCTGCATCATGGGTGCGATGCTGGCCGGCCCGAGTTTTGGCACTCACAGGAGCCTCGTGGCCGCCGCAGGCAAGCATGCTCTCGCTGGGTGACATGGCCGAACGCCACAACAGTGCCGCAGGCAATCGAGCCGAGCCGCACAGCCAGCTTCAGGCGCCCAGAGCATTCGAAGACACTTCAGACCTTTGTTTTTTCTGTGGCTGCTGAGCATGGTGCCTGTTGATGAGAGGTTCTTCTGGACAGACCGAACAGCCTGGACAAGTGTCCGAACCACCTGCCGTGGTGGGATGGGGCACTGCGAAAGATAAACACTTGAATGCTGCCTACTGTACATGGCTTTGTGGTGTGGCTTTCATAAGAACTCTCCCGAAGCACTCAAGCATGATCTGTGAGCATGTTGCAGATTGATCCTTCATCATTGCTGGACACACGAATGCTGGAAGCAGCAGCGAAGCTGGATCCTCAAATCGCAGTGTAGCCTCATCAGGGTTTCCATGTACCTGACTAGCTGAATGAAGCACGCTGATCGTGTTCCAAGGCGGCAAAAAGTCAACAGCTTCAAGGAGATGCAGCAGCTGACCAAGAACCAGACCAAGGCCTCCTCAAACTCACGGAGCTTCCAGTAGGCGAAGTGTGAAGCTCAGCGGCCACAGCGCTTGCAGGAAGATGTCCAAAGAAGCCAGTGCCCCTATCTTGAAGATTGTTATGTTTGTTTAGCGGATTTTGGCGGCGTTTGTGCGTCCGATGCACTATTCGCTGTCGCTGGGTGTCAAAGAGCCAATGTGAAACGAATACATGCAGTTTGTCGAATGTTTTCAATGTCTCCTCATCTTGGACATGGCATGGGGTGCAGAATGGCGCAGTCTCGAATTTTTGAATGTGCAAGACGAAGAGGTTCCATCGCTCATAAGGGGACGCGCCATGGACAGCCATGCTGCTGCCAAGTGTCCGGAGAAAGCAGGGGCGATGCGAATGACGTCACCTTGTCACTTTGCGCCACTAGTGAGGCGCTTGACCCATCTTCTTGCATGGTGCTCCGTGGCATCGGCGGCGGCAGCGCTCGGCCGCGATGCGCACAATTGCGAGGTGGCCAATTGTGAAGAGGATTCCGCCCTGCTTCAGTTGACATCTCATAATCGTGCAAGTCCGACTCTTGAACAGGGTCCAATGCGCTCAAATGCGGAGCTTTGGGCAACCTATTCGGGACTGGACTTTATGCTGAATCAATCCAAGGATTTTGTGGCCCACAAGATAGTCCAAGCCCCCCTGATGGCAGGGCAGACTGTCAGTGCTGGCTTCGGAATCAGCCTCCAGATTGGCCACCTCATTGCGACGACAGTGCCGGCGATCCAATTCATATCGCCAGTTTGGACAGAAGCTGGTGTGCGAGTGAGTGTTGAAGTCACAGGACTTCAAGCCAAAGCAGACCTAAAGGTTTCTTCTCCTGAATCAGAGGGCGAGCTTCTTGTCAATATCGATGGGCTTTTCGAGGGGAACTATAACATCGCTGTGGTGGACGAGCGGATCACAGTTGGGGTTGGTAGCCTGGTCACCCGAAATTTACATGTTCAGCCGAAGCTCGAGTTGTCTTGTGTGAGTCCTGGCTTTTGGAGTTCGGTGCCGTGCGCCGCGATTAGCGCACTGAATGGAAATGTTCCTGGTTGGCTTGTGGACACTATTCTATTCTTTACGAGGTCGCATGTGGAAGAACTGCTCCAAAATATCATTGAGCAGAAGCTTGATGCAAATCTGCGAAGCCTTCCAGACAAGTTGCAAGTTTTTTCTTCCAACGCAACTAATGTGCAGCTGGCATTCACCCCTTTGGGCATACTTCAGTCTTATGACCTCAAAGCAGCATCGTATCATGTTCTTGCAGAGGGCGTTCCACAGTCAGATGAAGAGTTTCCTGTACCAGGGCTTTTGCTTCAGAACCATTCTACAACGTCGATGTTTGCCATGGCGTTCAGCAGCAGCGTTCCGAACAGTCTGTTTGCCGTTCTGCATGATTCTGGCGTGCTCAGCCACACAATCTTCCCGCAGGATCTGCCTAACAATAGCATGTTTGGCCTGGATACATTTAGCCTGGAGCTTGCATTTTATTGCCCTTGGTTAAAAACAGTGTATGCCTTTGAGTGCCCATTTTGGCAGCCCTGTCCAGTGTCGGCGACCATTCAGACTTCTGCACGGCCAGTTATTGATCTGTCTGATGGCTTGAGCCTAACCATTCCTCTCTCGGTGGATTTCCATCTGCTGAAAGAAGCTTCAGAACCAACGTTTCTATGGCGGCTGAACACAACAGCTACTGGAACTCTGCAGCCATCCATGGTGCATTTGGGCCCATGCGACCAGCTACTCAAAGCCACCCTCGAAGAACTGCATACCAGCTGGTTCGAGGTTACAAAATCCAAGGATGACTCTTGGGTAGCGACAGCTCTCTCCATCAACCTTTTCTTGCCCATGCTGATCAATGGACCATTGCTGGATCAGATTAATGCTCACCTGGACGAAGGCATTCCCCTCAAGCCTATTGCCTTCGGTGGGTCTCGTTACGCGTTGTCAAACTCGTCCGTCAACGCATCGTCGGGCAGATTTATTTTGTCCAGCAATGTCTGGCTTGCCGACAGCTGCCCTTGACTGGCAAAACGGATACCAGCCGCGCGCCATGGCACAGTTCCCTGGCGTCGCGCTGGCGGCATATTTTGAACCGCAAAGCCGGCAGTTTTGGTGCACTCAGCCCTCTTCCAGTGGGCTGCTATCAAAGCGTGCAGCCTCACATAAAATCGCGACTAGGGCTGGAGGAGTATGCAGCTTCCATGTTTCAAAGGCAGGTTATGGACAGGCAGAGTGATTTACTCATACACGAACCGGATGCATGTGGGTACTAGTGCAAATTCACTCGTGTTTCTAGGTTGTCTAGCCCATGATTGGAGTAGTTGCACATGTCTTCTTTGTTCTAGGTTTTTGCCCGATAAAGTCCTGCCTGCCACCGCAAAACAGCCAGGTACTTTGAAGAGCTGCTGCAAGATCCGGCTGACACATGATTCCAGCGCGCGTGGTCTCTTGTAAAAGGTGTCTGTGCCTGGCAGAACACCGCCAGGACATCTTCAAAAACAAAAGTTAGCAAAATCCAAAAGTGTTGCATCTGACCTTCTGTTGGCTCAGGCCGCAGGTTTTGGCGCGGTCAGGTCTTGCTCTGTAGAGTGCAGAGTGCTCAATCCGAGCAATGGCCATGCGTGCCGCAGCCTGAGACGATGTACGCTTGTCTTATGTCTTTGTTCTATGGTTGGACAGACTCTGCAACATCTGAACTGGGATATTGGTGCTGAATGCTCAATCTACACAATGAAACTGGCTATCATGATGCCTTGGCAGATGCTGGCACAGGGATCAAACAGAAGTTGCTAAGAGAAGGAAGGAAGAAGAGTGCCCGACCCCCCCCCTCTCAAACCTTTCATACAACATTGTGTTGGCAAATGAGTGATCGCTCTACAGAAACCATGCAGAATTGGGCACCCTGCATGTGGCTGGCAGGTACCATTTAAACAAATCCTGAAAGAGTCAGGTGACTCCAGGATACAGGAGAGCGACAGCGAAACCCTGAACAACCCAAAAATGGCTCAGTCAGGTTTAGAATTCAGTCGGTTTTAAGCTACGAGAACGCAACGCCGGCTTAAAATCGATTGAAGCCCTGTTGTTGACTGGCGGTGCTAAAATTGCTTTCAGCTGCTAAAGCAGCCAACAGGCAAAATGCTCCAAGTTGATTTTGAATCCAGCCCAGAGCTCCACAAAGACAAGGAGTTGCAATGGTTTGGAACTGCTGTTCATCTGAGGCTGAAGTCAGAATTCCAGCCATTCTCATGGGCCCGAGGTCATGAACTTTGCACTTGGACCACTTGGTCGCTGGCGCCCTTTTGCCGCCGTCAAATGGCGGCACATGAGGAGGAAAACAAATTGCGATGCACGACAGGCTTCTCATCTCTTCTCAGTTTTGAAGATCTGCAGTCTGCAGACAATGTGTCGTGGCACCAGGACATTTGCCACAAATCCGGATTACATTGGCCAGGACACGCTTGGGCAACATGTAAGTCCTGCTGGTTTTCTGCAAGCTTGTGCAAGGACCCATACAGCAGCTCAGGCGATTCATTGTGCAGCATCAGCAGTTTCCGCTCAACTGCGCTAGTTTTTGCTGGCAAGTCTGCCTCCAATTCTCGGAGGTAGAGATCCTTACGCTCCCAGACGCAGATTTGACCAAGGCTGGCCCACACGAATTTTGGAGTCTTACCGAGGCAGTTCTCTCACACATCGGATGACTCAAGGCTTTGCTATTCGAAATTGTATGTCACGCTTTGCAGCTCATCTGCTGCACTGCTATCGCGAACTGTGGTTGCCTTTTTGCTACTCTCCTGTAGTCACGGCTTGGTCACAACTTTCGAGTTGATAGTGCGCACCCACCACCTCGCCAACAGCAAAGCCACCGGACGGTTCCGAAGAGCACTCCTATCGTGACATTGATATGTGACATCGCGACATTAACATGTGACTTAACAGCATCTTAACAGCCCTCAGAGCCCTGCATTGCTTCGACTGTTGCATGGCCTGCGGCCTCCCGCCTTCAGTATTGTGGGTGGGCTTCAGGCCACCAAGAGAAACGGACACGGAATGTTTGATATTGGTTTCATGCTTGGTGGCTCCACGAGACCGAGACCGGGGGCATGTAGTCTCACCTGGAACAAGCTCTCTGTGGCTTTGTCAAAAGACTCGGGTTGAAAGACCGTGTCATTGCAAGATATTGCAAGCAACAAAACACCATGGGCTTGCAATTCAGCAACAATCCGCTCCACTTCTCGAAGCTGCACATCTTCACGGTTGCACTGCGCAGTGCGACGAAGGCACAGCCAAAATCCGCGAATCGTCGTAAGGACCCACTCACGATTTCGCATCTCCTGCCGGAACTGTCTTCGCATGTTCCTTGCAGTCTGACCTTGCCGCAATATCACGTATGCTGAGGTGGTGAACGTCGCATCCTTGGCAAATTCGAGATTGTTCAATCGACACAGTTGCACCTGTATACCTTTAACCATGTCTTCTCTGCAGGTCGGCCTCGTCGTGATGAGGCGTGCTTTGTCACCGTTTCGTAGGTTGACCTGTCGTCGGAATGTCACGTTGTGTCGAGCCGTCAGGAAGACTTTTCTGGAAGCTTCGAAGGCAGCCACCGAGGTAGGGTAGTTGCAGTGAGGTGGCCACTTCAGCAGCATAATGCATGGCCATTAACTTGAGAACTGTGCAGCAAGCTTTCTGGAACATTGAGAAATCACAAAGAGACGCCGAAGCAGAGAAGGTGGAATCTTAATAGGTCCTGACTTCATCGTGTCGAGTGAGTCATAAATCCGAAACGCCTGAAAACCCTGTGAGGGGACTGCGCTGACTACGCGAGTCTGAAGATGGTTCGCTGGGTTTTTCACGCCGCTAATTGTAGGATTCCAGGATGTTTAGAAAGCCAGCACTTCGTCGACCTTTCTAGGCTTTCAGACAAGCTTCTGCGGCTTCTCTGTCAGGCAGACCTCCATTGACGGGCGGGGGGATGCCCGACCGCATGGGCAATCTTGGCGTGTACCTTAGAGATGGTTGCAATATACTGTGATATGCTGCCCCTCGTCTGTGTGGGAAAGCTCTGTCACTGCAGGGCAGAATCTAAGACACCTTAACTGGGAGGAGGAACGGCTGGAAGCCCATCAGTTGCCGTACTTCCTTCCAGATAGCCGCTTCATGTCGCTTCATGCCTCCCACAGCGCCGCTAAGGCTAGTTACGTTTCAGAAGTATGGATCTTAGGGTGTCGTGACGTGTCATGTACCTTTGCGCTAAGAGCAGTTGCTGGTGTTTGACTCTGAGAAACTTCTACAACGAGCACCCTGAAGTCATGTCGATGACTGCGGAGCAGGCCTAAGAATGGAGAGATATGGAGGATGTATTAGTGCAACGCTGTTGTGGTAGCATCATATGGCACTTCAATTGTCTTCATTGCGCTGCGACATGCCAGGTTACAGCAGCCTACAAGGCAAAAGCGCTTTTCTGTACACTCCTTTGTATCCACGCGCCTTTCGGAGACCTCAGCTGTCAGCGAGCTCTGAGCTGCAAATTCTCTGCTCTCTCCAGGCGCTCAGTGCAAACGTCGAAGGCCGCAAGCCGCATCCCAGGCAACGAGCGCGCAATTCTCACATTGCATCTAAGCATTCTTCTCAGCTCTCGCAGAGTCTCAAGCGCTCTTGATACCGATCTGTACACAGGCCGGTCATGTCGTTTGATCACCTGAGCCTGGCAGAGGATTTGCTGCAATCTGCCTCGCCCTCAGACAGTTGGTTCAGGAATCTAGGATTGGCTGAGCAGACGGAGGTTCGCAGCTCGTTCGACACCCCAACACCTATTCAGTCAGTGGGCTGGAAGCCAAGAATCTGGGAGGTGCAGTGCGGAGTTTGCGTTGTTAACATGGCGCAGAAAGGTCCTGTTCGCTCAGGATGGCCTACTGCTCTCTCTGGGAGAGACATGGTCGGCATTGCTCAAACTGGCAGTGGTGAAGCTGGCAAGACATTGTATCTTCCCTAGGCAGTCCTGCACTGACAGCCCTCATCCGATCCAGGCAAGACCCTGGCCTATGTGCTGCCCGCGTTGGTGCACATTGCTGTGGTTGCCTCAGGAGCAGCTTACGAATGTTTACGTTATGCTTTAATGACAGTTTACAATAGTTTGTACAATCCTTTGCAACTTCTCAAAGTTCAGCGCAAGAGACGTCTTGTGATGAGGCGCAGCCATCCTTAAGCCCAGGGGATGGTCCCATCGGCTTGGCCTACAGCCCAGCCACAGAGATTCGTAGCAGTAGCAGTCGTGCTGTTTGAGACAAAGCAGACCAGCACATCACAATGACGTTGGTCTCCTTGTGGGTTTTCAAGCCTGGGTTAGGCTCAAGCTTTGATAGGGATGGAGAAGCCAACGTTGGTTGAGGTGCTCACAGAGCTCGTTCGTAAATGTCACGATGGATCGTTTTCAAACGATTCGATCACAGGTGGCTGGAGGGTGTGTTCTTGCATTTCATGTTGCCGACTGTTGCATGTGGATGCCGTGGCCGGTTTTCCGGAGCCTGCATCCGAGTATGACTAACAATCTTACTGAACAAGGAAAAACAGGGGGAGGAGTTTGAGTGGCAGGGCCCATCAGGGCCCAGTGTTGGGTGTGTCGGGGCGTCGAAACCCAACGTGGGGTGGCAGGTATTCCGCGCTGCTTGAAGGCTGTCAGCAGAGAGTAGCCGACCAAACCGTGTTGGGCTGTCTCGCCTCAGGTCCTGGCGCCCACGCGAGAGCTGGCCAACCAGATTCATTCCGAGGCATTCTGCAACATTTCGGCTTGTCTGTGTCAACCCCTTACAACAGTGTTCCCGCTCATGCTTTCGCCGTGAGCAACGCAGGTCGTTCGGTTTACAGAAGGTACCAGAATACGGAGCACGGCCGTCTTTGGGGGCGTTCCCAGATATGGACAGGCACATGCACATGCACTATTGGCTGAAGGCTGAAGTTTAGGTGCTTTTGATTTCCAGGCCGCAGATTTGAGACGAGGAGTTGAGATCCTCATTGCCACACCGGGTCGGCTCTTGGATTTTTTGGAGGAGCGATGGGGCCAATAGTTGCTTAAAGCTGCCAAAAGTTGCCACTGAGTCACTGATACGGGGCAACTGTTTGCATCTGTTGTTATGTTTGCATATGCATGGACCCGTGCAAGGCAGGCACTACAAATCTCAAGCGGATAACATATCTGACGCTTGATGAGGCCCGTGGCCCAGTTATCAAGCAACAACACCCCGCTGGAAACCTTGTTCTGATGCGGTTTTCAGGCAGACCGAATGCTCGACATGGGATTCGAGCCACAGATTCGCAAAGTGCAGACGCTCAGTTTCGGGCACAGGTCTTGTGGCTAGCAGTCTCAGCTTTGTCAGCCAACGCGACTCTGTCTTTGGCTGTCCCTATCAGCAGGAGCCCCAGGAAAACTAAAATAAACTAAATGTAAGGTCGTTTCTCAGATTCGACCCGACCGCCAAACGTTGATGTGGTTGGATTCTGAGCTAGTTGATCACCACATGGGCAGGCTCAAGCTGCTGGCCCGCGTGGCAAAACTTAGACTTAGCTTTCCAAGGTCAGCGACCTGGCCCAAAGAGATTCAGCGGCTGGCGAGGGATTTTTGCCGAGAGGCCTGTTCACATCTCAAGTGCACCTCTTGCGGCGGAACCTTCGTTTTTGTAGTAGTAGCGTTCATTAAGCCCTGCCATTTCGCAGACTGCTTTGGGCCTGGATGAAGCACTCGTGACAAATTAAGTGCCACTTGCTGACGTGCAGGACCCTGTGAAGCTTACCATCGGGACGGAGGAGCTGCTTGTCGGTTCTCTGATTCTCTGCATCGCACATAGTGTCGCAGAATGTAGCAGAAACGAGTTCCTACCGCAGGTGTTGTTTTTGTGAGCCCTTCACATTGTATCGCACCGTGTGCTGTGGCGAAGATCTTAATCGCTTGTCGTATTCTTAAACATGCCACCCTCCTCACCCTTGTATCCCAAACAGTGCTTGCACACTATTGAAACATCCGTGCGGACGGATCTCGGGTCCGCAAGCATCAAGACGTGTCCCACACATGGCAAAATAGCATGGGTTCTGTCCGATCTCAGGGGATTTGCATTTCGTGGTGTTGCTTCGTTTCCCCCCGTGTGTTTTCTTGAGGCTTGAGCCCCGTTTTTCACTTCTCGGTGTGGGGAAAGCTGGGGCGAGGGTGAAGAGAGAATGCCCTGTTGTTGAGCTTGGGACCGCAAATATTTGCAAAAAACCAAAACGCTACACCCCGAGATTCGTGGCTTGACAAAAGCGGGAATTGAAGCTGCAGGAATTGTCTCTGAACCCGAACATCGAGCAGCAGATCGAGGTGAACAGTACACTTGCAAGACTTGCGGATAGCGGATGATTTCGCTGGTGAGGTCGTGGGTGAGTACGAGAAGCGAGACAGGTTTATGAGCTGGATCAAGAGCTTGGAGCCCAGCATGTCCTGTCAGACTTTTGGTGACATGATGCACCACTTCTTCTCTTCTAGTTCAGCTTGATACACTGAGCATCTTTCCAAGATCTTCCATGCATGAGCCTTTGTCAAACATGTCGTAGCATTGTAGCGACACCTCTCGATGCTGGATCCAGCCTTCACACGAAAGCTTGTATGTAGACATTAAGAAAGACATCCTTATGTAGAGAGAGAGGTTAAATGAGCAGTATGGAATGGCTGCGGCTGGGTGGGTGAAAGGTCAAGAAATTTGCGAATAATCTGTGGAAGGGTTGCGTTATGTCGGGCTGCGGGGGTCATATTCCGGGCAAGGGGGTGACTGGTGAGTGGGGGGCATGCTCTGTATGTGTGGGTTGTTTTACAACTAGACGCTGCTGCAATGCGCTTGTTGGACAGATTTGGTTCAGGTGTGGCAGCCGATGAGACCAAGGTACTTGTGTTTACAGAGTGGTGCTGGCTTTTTACGTCTGTGTCGACATCTTTGGGTTATTTTGGGTTGCAACGGCAACCTCATTTCATGTCAGAACGAAGCGTGGTGCTGACTCGCTGTGCCGCGAGTTGCAGTGCGCCAGGGTATAGGGTTCTCTGCATGTGGTTTGTGCGGCAAGCTTACAATCCTTTTCCGTGAGGTACCAGAATTTGTCAGCCAATGCAATTCATGGTGACAAGGCGTGCGTGCGAACATGTTCGATCACTGGCCACTGAACATCACTGAACTATGTTGAGCTGTGGCTGCGGAATCTTGGCGCCAATGAGATTCTGGGTTGAAGCTTGTTGCAGCTTGTGAAGCGAGTTCAGCATGGAGGAGCAACGGCAGCGAGACAGAACCCTCTTTGATTTCAAATCCGGACGTCTGAAACTGAGCTGTGGCAGAGAGTCCGGTCAGTTTCACGTACGCATACGCCAAGGCTGCAACATCCTGATTGCAACAGATGTTGCGCAAAGAGGCTTGGACATCAAGGATGTGGCATTTGTTGTCAACTATGCCCGTGGCTTAGGCGGCTTAGCCTTGGAACTTTGGGTTTTTGAATGTCTTTTTTTGGATGCCTGAGCCAGTAAGGATGTTCCAAAGACCCTCGAGGATTACATCCATAGAATTGGCCGAACAGCACGTACTGGACTTACATCTGCTGCAAGCGAGTTAACATGGCGAGTGTGTTGTTGGTGGTCGGTCTTGGCCAATCTTGACCACCTACGAGTATAAGTGCGCCGAGCTAACGTTGACAAGTCTCGGCGTGGTGTGAGGCTCTGCAGAGGTTTGCAGACTTGTACATGAATGTGTCGGGAGCATGTTTTTATTTGCAAGCGATACAGCTTGCCTTCTCCACAGGGCCATGCTTGTTGCAAGTTCCTGTGCAAGCCGGCTCGTTCACCCGAAACTTGCGCGTGTTTGCCGGGGCAATCCCGCCAAAGTCGGCAAGAATTGGGTTGAAGAGGACGTGGAATGTTGTGGTGATGGCCCTGATTTCTAGAAACTGAGTGTTGTTGGTGGAGTTCGCTTTCCAGCCCTTTGGCCTACTTGCTGGGTTTTCCCGTTGGCTTTGCTAACTATTGAAGAAGACTGGCAGCTTTTGTGGCCTCTTGACTGGGCTTCGCAGCATCCAGCCTGAACAACCCAGCCCTCTCTCCCCTAAACCCTGCACCCCCTCCCCTCAACCCTAAACCTTAAACCCTAAATCTGAAACCCTCAACCCTAGACCTTCAATCCTAAACCCTAACCCCAACCGCCCAACCCCCCCACCACACCAAAGGGGCGGGGAACCACTACCATTGGGGGAGGGGGCCATATTTTGTGGGGGCATTTAGTGCGTTCACTCTGTTCCCTCGGTATGAAGATAGAAAGTGAAGAGAACGCAGTATTATTGTTCTTACTACAAGTGAACGCAGAGAACGCGTGAATACCAGTATTGCGAGAACGAAACCAAAAGTTGGGTCACAGGTTCGTCCGTATTATTTACACGCCTATAATATACTTACAAGGGAACGCATGAATTACATTTTCACGGGCGTGTGTGAATGAACGAACGAAATCGCGCAACAGCAATGGTGAAAAGAATACTATTAAACGCACGAATGTAGTGAGTGCACGGGCGCTTCTCTCTTCTTCTTTGTTCTTATGAGCCGCCCCGGCATCATATATCCTGACTTGGGCGACCTGCCATAGCCTAAGCCAAAACAACCGACTGCAGCTGAAGACCACTTGCGGGATCAGCTGTATCATGTACATTGGGGTGCTGCATGCTCTTTTCTTTTTGTTTAAGGAACAAAGCTGCGAGAGAAAGTCGTATATGGTTGCGCCCCGCCGCCCCCCCCCCCCCCCGCCCCAGTCTCCACCCCCCCCCACCTTGGGTGTGGTTGTGGGTTGGTTTTAGGGTTTATTAGGGTTTAGGGTTTTCAGGTTTAGGGTTTAGGGTTTAAGGTTTGGGTTTCGGGTTTAGGAATAGGGTTCAGGGTTCAGGGTTTAGGGTTTAGGGTTTAGGATGTAGGGTTTAGGAGTTAGGAGTTGGGGTTTAGGGGTTTAGGGGTTAGGGGTTGGGTGTTAGGGGTTAGGGGGGGGGAGGGGTGGCCTTCTGTTGTTGCTTTCTGCGCAGTTCCAGGCATTCAAACACTTCAGGGGCGAGGGGGGAGGGTCAACAAGAACCAGGACAGTAATCTGACCCGAAATATGGCCCAGCAGCTAACTCAACCATCTGCCCGACCTAACCTGACTACCCTAACCTAAGCTGGCTCTTGGCCCGAACTACCCCACCTCCAACAATGTTTGAGGGCAGGTTAGAGTGACGTGTTCCTCGCAACCGTTCAACCATCAGTTTTACCAACCGCACTACATCCCACGAACTTGCCAACAACAGCAGCCAGTTATGTACCATCAGTATCGCCAGCAATTGATGCCAGCATCAGCGCCAACAAACTTTCCAACACTTGGACTGGGCTCTCGGCAAGGTTGGCCGGGGTGGTGTCGGCCAGGGTCGGATCAGGCCAGTTACCTTTTTTATGGCTCCTTTTCGTGCGGTAGCTGGTGCCTTGGTGGTGGTTTCGGCACGCTCCTCTACAATGCCCGGATGATGGGTTTCAATAAAAATGTCTATGCTTTGTTTGAAGCAAGCTTGCACGGCTTTAACGCAACCGGGGGGATTGGTCGAGGGCAGCCCCCAATTTGCAAACACAATGCTGACGGATTAGAAAAAGACTCATATGCTTTGAAGCAGGCTTGCACGGACTAAAAGAAGCGGGGGGCCATGTTGTTTTGAGCAACAGAACAATTTGTAACCAGAACGGTTCATCTGAATCATTGGACGTGCTACAAGTAGTTGACCTCATTGTGCGGGTTGTGCTGCTGGAGACATACATTGACTCCTATTGACCACAGAATGGAGACGTAATGCTGCTATGCTGTCGGCACCTTGCAGAATCCTGTAGATACCATGAAGACGTCGCACCAGGCCCAAAGCCACAGAAGCAAACACCCTCATTCGGCGTCGTTGGCCTAGGAGAGAAGTGGCCTTTGGACAGAAAGAACTTCCGTGTGCAAGTAGAAGACCCCTTGCTTGTCCGACTCGCCGGCATTCATCGTTTTTCTCTGTCGCTCTCTCTCTCTCTCTCTCTCTCTCCCCCTTTCCGTTTCTATGGTGGCAAGTCCTCACGCCATGTTGACACCACATGGCCAGACGTGTTGCATGATCGCGGCAGTTTTTGAAGCTCAACCTGTGAGAGAGCCGGAGCTGTGCGAGTCAAGCCTAGGTGGTGGTGCAAAGGGCACCGCTGTGACCTTCTTCCCCGCGGATGCTTACACTCCTGATATGATCAGGATGGCCAGGGCCATTTCCAAGGCCGGGAGTTCTCCGGCCTCGCACCAGGCAATGATGGCCTCATGATTACAACACTGCTGATCAGGCAGTGCGTGATGTTGGGCTGGACACTTATGAGCATGCATTCTCTCTGTCAAAGCCGAGCCTGTCTGGTCTATCCTGATAAGCCCGAGGCAAGTTCCACCCAAAGAGCTGCTTGATCTTGGAGGCCGTCCGATCCAGGTTCTCATTTTCTGAAGCGCATGTCAGTGAAGCAGCTAAGGCAGCCGACGATGAAGCTTCAAGTGAGAGGCATGTGGGCAAGGCCGTCGCAGTGAATTCAGTGGTCTTGGAGTGATCTGAATTTTGGGTCTGAGTCTGGTTTGTGCATGAGCTGGTCACTAGTGCCAGAGGCTGTGCGACAAGAATGCCTGTCAAGTAGCACAAGCCAGCCAAACGACCCGCAATGGATTGCATTCTTAGTTGTATCGGCTACAAGTTGTCCAACCTCACGGCAGGTGTAGCACTGACCAGCCCGGTGCACACACCACTCAAAATCACCTGGCCGTATCTGCGGCAAAGACTTCGCAACAAGCGCGATTTTGAAACCTGTTCGCCTTGATTTTCCCAGCTGCGCTCCAGCTGACATGCTCTGCCACATTGTGGTGGATGATGTGGAAAGTGGCTGCGCAGGCATCTTCAGTGCTGTCAGGCTATTCATCTGTCGAGGGCATGCAGTTGTAAGCTGACCGCCGCGTTTTAGAGCGGGTGGACCATTGCCCGCTTGGTTTGAGCTCAAGTCCCGTGCCAAAGCAGCGCTTAAAGTTGGGGTGGGAAGCTGGCCATGGAACGCAGGCTGACTTCACACCGTAAGCTTCGTCTCCATACGGCGCTGCACTAAAGCGTGACCTGACCTGTCAGAAGGTAGATCCAGCTCCTCCTCCTTGATTCGATGCCGTCGACCTGACAATGTTGACTTTGATAACTGCTTCTTGCTAAGGAGCGAAAATCAAAACGCAACCAATAAACATCCAGTAAACTAGCCTTCCCATTCTATTTGTATGTTTTTCCTTTGTCGGTTTTCCAAGCACGAAGCTATAGCAGTTCAGGGCAAGGTCTCTTCTATGGCACTGTGTGTCTTCGCGAATTACTATGGAACAAAGCCAAAACTACCCAGGAGATGGTGTCAGAAGGCAGTGCCTATGACAAGCATCACAACAGCAAAAATCAGCATTTCAGGATGCGCATCTCCCATGCTTTGTTCTTTATTTGGTTTCTTTTTGAGGTTGCCAATCTCTGTCGAGCTTTCAAAACAAGCCTTAGACAGAGCTGGCATCAACCCACTCACATCTATAATTTCGTATCAGACGCACATTTTGAGGGTCACCACAACGTGCCTCTCTCAAAATCCTAGGGCCTACGGACCAGGGCTTGCGATTTGTCATATTGGAGCACAGCTTGCCTGAACATTCTTAAGGGGACCAGCGCTGATTTGTTATGGCAAATGGCGGTACCGACTGGGTCTTGCGATTTGTCGTGTTGGAACTGGATTGACTGAAAAAGGGCCAGGTGCCAGACCTTTTGACCGTTTTTCCGTTCGCGCCAACAATCTTGGGGACCAGGCATTGCGAGTTGTCACAGTGCTTTAACACCTCAATGTATGAGCTCAGTTTTTTCAATATCCTGGTGAGGAACATGATTAACATGATGGCCACTGCTCATGATGGACTGTCACTGTCCTAAACGCTTTCGAGCCGTTTTCGTGGATGTCCACTCTCTGCTGTCGGTGTTTGCTTGTTTGGCTCCGATTTTCCTCAGGCGTTCCCTTTGCACTCCACGAATCTGCATGTTTCGGTGTAAGAACTGCGCGAGAGACAAAGGACTCAGGTCGGCTGATCCCCTGGTTTGCCAGGAAGCTTGCTGTGCTCAATGAGGCAGAGGAGGAAGTTCCGGTCGGATGCTGGGAACAGTGCGCATGCATCACTCAAGAGAAGCGCTTGCATTTCGTCATCCGAAGCGTGCGTCCTACTAAGGAAGGCGCAAATGCTGCCGAAGTGGTTGTAGGTACGCTGGCTTGATGACGAGCTGTGGTTAGCCGGAATCGAAAAGTGTTAGCTCGGCCGCAGGCATTGCAGACATGATCGGAATAGACATTGTCAACGAGCCTCAGCCTTCCGCTTGGAGTCATTCCGCGGGGCAGACCTCTTGAGGATTGCGGACATCACCTTTGCACTCATTGCCGCAGGTTCTTATGGATCGCTGAAGAAGCATCGCGAGCACACATTCCTCCCGACTGGAAGGTGCCAGTGGCTCGTTGCGATGCGACACACACGACATGCGATGACATGCGGTGAGTACATGGAGGAATGGCGTAGGAAGGAGGTGGAAGGAGGTGGAAGGAGGTGGAAGGAGGTGGAAGGAGGTGGAAGGAGGTGGAAGGAGGTGGAAGGGGGAGGGGGCGGCAGCAAAGAAGTTTCCTAATTGAGGTTACTGATAGGGAGAAGACGCCGTCGTTTTCTCACGTCCAAGCGTGATCTGAGCTTTCTCGCAGCGTTCATGTCGCGACATCTATCCTCCTGACTCGCTGTGCTTTACCTCGTTGTTTCGCATTGCGGTTGCGCCAAAGCGGGCATTTCGTATTGTAAGTAGATTTGGTTCAAGCTTCCGAACGAGTGGCAATATACAGTACTTGTGTCTGTCTAGATGTGCTGTTGGCGAGGTGCGTTCGTGAATCCAGTGTAGCGTCAGGCTGGAAGCCTACTGAATCCAGAGAAGCCACTGACAGTGAAAGGAAAGAAGAGAGACACAAAGGTCAAAGCAAGCAACAAAACAAACGAAAAGCAAGAAGCCCAAGGCGGTGAAATGCTGAAAGAGACGGGCAACGCAAAAAGCAAAGGCAAGAAGCAAAGCCGAGGAAAGCAAAATCAGGGAAGCAAGTAGCCAAATGAAATGAACGGAAACAGGAGACAAACAAGCACAAAAGAGAAAACAACATGAGAGCGGCAAGACAAGATGGAGCGGAAGCGCTAAGCAAATGCAAACAGTTCAAAGTAGAAACTAAAGTGCTTGGGACCCCCAATTCTGAGTTCCGATTTAGACTCTGGGCATGATGAGCATGAGCAGGGGGACTACGCACGGGCATGTCGGGGTCGTTTTGAACACACGAGTTTGACATTGCATCTTGACGAGCCATCACTCCTGGCCCAAACGCTGGCCACTTTGCTTAGCCTGGAACATCGGAGACATTGCAAATCTTCCTTTTGATGGTTAATGGGCATGCATCTTGCAGGAGCTAACGAACGAAGATGGAGAGGTGTGCCGGGCTCAGTCTACGTGTGGAGCATGCTTAGAGCGTCAGCTTCTGGAGTTTCCTACAGTTGCCAACGACCACGACACACGCGATAGACGCGACAGACGCGACAGACCCCTGTTGTGATCTCTCACATGCTCAGGCTGTATTATCATACGCAGGAGCGCAAGCTCCAAAAGGCGCATCACAGTCAAGTACAGAGAGACATAATGGAGACAGAAATGGCATATGTGAAACGGAAAGAACGGGGCAGAGGTGCATCCTCTCATCTTGAGATATCAGGAGGCCGATTGTTGCACAACTTGCGCAAGAAATGACTCTGAAGACTGTTCTGCGGGTGCCACTTGCTCGTTGCGAGGTCTATTTCAAAGCTCGGAGCTACACGAAGCAGCTTGAGAGCTTCGGCCTTTCCAACATCCCACATCACAACCTCTTGGCAAGCACGTGTTGTCACGCAAAGCACTTGCACAGCTTAGGCGGTCAGATAGGCAACTTGCTCGAGCAAACTGATGCCAAGATGGCTGCTGGAATCTCAGTAGCGTGCTGGGGATTGACGACAAAATTGGCAAGCTACAGTATCGCAGTTCAGGCTATAACAGCTTCGGTGATGGGGCGAGCGCTTGTGCCCCAAACACGGGGCAACACGGGCCTGCACAGCTGTGAAACCCACACCTTCTTTGCGAGGTCAAAAGGCTTGCCTCCAGCGACTCCGGAAGTTGTTGAAAGTTCAAGACCCGGTGTTAGTATCGCGGACATGGGGGGTTGAGTGAGATGATTGCGGCATCTTGCCGGCACAAGGCCTGGCGAGGGTTCTCGGCGTAGAGAGCACGAAGGCGCACCTGCCTTCGCACCTTCAAGACACTTGCTGACCGCTTGACTGATGCAGAAGTTCCAGTCAGACTCAGTGACACATGCGGTGACACGCATATCGACTTTCTCAGGAATTCTTCCTGTTCCGCGTTGTGAAGCAGACCATCGAGGCAGATTTCAGAACTCAAAGATTTCCTTGTCACTGCTAAGAGTCAGCAGCGCATGCTTTCGCCATCCATCTTGTCGACTTCTCACGTAAAATATGTAAAGGAGCATATGGTTAAAGAACTTTTGCTCGAGGCATATGTGGAGAAGAAGTTGGACTTGAGCAGCATCGTGCAGGACATTGGTGCAGAACGTCTCGCACCGTCGCAAAGGCTTGTCGTACCTTCTTACAGCTGTCAGGATCTGAAGGATCCCATCGAGTTCCTGCGTCAGATACGCAAGAAGCAAAATCAGGCATGCCACGATTCCCTTACTGTCGAGAGATGGCGCCGAAGCTACCCGAGTACAGAACACCCGAACGAACCCACCCTTTTCGCACATGTCTCGGCTCATGATCATGACCGACAACATCTTGAATTTCAGTTTGTGTCATGTCGTCGCGAATGTCTCCTCAAATATGGATGCTAGACTCCAGATGCTAGACGTGTTTAGGCTGCCTCTTCTTGTCACAACCGGCGCTGCATTCTGTCAACCCGTGAGTAGCAGGAAACAGTTCCCTTCGTTTTGCCAAAGCCGCGATCCTTGTTTGCCATACTGTATGCACTTCCGCGGCCCGGGGCTACAACGAAGGAGAAAAACTGGGAAGCCCAAACTTCACAAAAGCTTTTCGTGCCCAAGTGACGGGGGCCAATGCAAGCCCTCACATCTGGCCAAGGGCTTTGCGGAGCTTTGTGGTTAAGCGGCTAGATAAGACGGCTAGGAGGGGGGCCAATGACTCAGACCCCTCGGCTCGCCTGCACGAAATGCGGCAAACTATTGTGATGCACGGAGGTAGAAACCAAGCGGAACAAAGTTGTAGCTGCCCTTGGACACGAAACATCATTAAATAATCATGTTTGCCAAAAACGGACTGCAAGTGTCTGCCCTGGGACGCACATCCCAAGGTCACAGACCGATATTGGATTGCTCATCCGGTTTCGAAGGAGTGTGGGAAGTCATACAATGCTCAGGCAGGACGTTGCTACCCCTCTGCCTTTTGAACTGCGCCTGTATCCTTCGCGTACATCTCGGGCTTGCCCGAGCCGGCTCGAGTCGAAAAACCAAGAATTTCAGCCATGCCGGCGGCTCGCAGTAACTCAATACCCCTAAACAATCCCTAAACTCTATGCCCCTCCCGAGGAGAGCAAAGAGTGTTCTGGTGGCATTTAGCTTTCTTGCCCCGCCAGGGTGATACTTTGCTCTCTCTCTCTCTCTCTCTCTCTCTCTCTCTCTCTATTTCCCCCACCCTTCAGGCTGAGACTTTGAACCCACGGGGTGAGTCTCGGCGCGGCATTCGTCGTTGCAGAAATTTGGCTGCGGGTGAAGCGCAGACACAGGACCAAAATCGCAAAGTCATTTGTGACCAACGTGTAGGTCGAATAGACAAAAGTTTGGATGCGGATTGAAAAATGAACAAAAAAGACCGAGGTGCCTGAGGCCCCATCACCAAGAAAGCAGACGCGAATGAATCCTGTATTCAGCATGCCGCCAGGTTGATGTCATACGGAAGCCCACAACGGTGGTAATGCTACTTGGTTGCACATGTCCATTATTGTCCATTGCAGGTTGAGTTTTTTGATGCTGGTCAGCCTGTCGAAGCAAGGTGCCAAGAATGCGAAAACCGGGCGGCCGTGTTAAAGTGCGAGCAATGCAAGGATTTCTTCTGCCAGGACTCCACCAGACGCTGCCTTCCAGACACGAAGTCATGAAGATCCCACACGTGCTGTGACGCCTGAGTGCTTGCAGGATTGCTTCAACAGCACACATGCTACCGGGAAGCGACGTGCACACATAACATCTGATGTGGAGCAGCTGGTGTGAAAGGAACTCAGCCTTGCGTGTGTGGAGGTCTGTGCAGTGGCCAGTCTAATTGTGCAACATTGATAAGGTGCTGCTTTCGAGGATCGCGTAGCCACGTGCCAGTGCGTGCGAGGGCTGAGTGGTCATTTACTGGAATAGCGCTGCGCAAGACGTTGCTCCCTCGCTACATGCACTCTGCCCCTGGTGCCGTGAGGTCCAGTGCGGTCTCTTCTACTCTGATGAGGGCTTCATGTCGCCATCCTAGTTCTGCAGATGGCTGTACTCGGGTCAGTCAATTGTGCACAGGAGTGCGGCAGCGGTTCGTTTTCCAAGGCATGTGCATGCCTGGGATGCTGCGCGTCCAGACTTGCACAACACCCAGCGCAGGAATTGGCACATGACAAGGCAACAGCGTCACTTGGATCCATTGAGCGTGAAAGCAAGGCGAAACCATCTGAAGCGGGTCATCAATGGCTTAGTATGCCTTGAGTGCGAGCACTACAACGCTTCCGTGCTTTGTGAGGCAGGTCTCTGTTTGCTATGTTTTTTGATGGCTATGTCTGTCCGATTCTGAGAGCTTGGGACGCTGGTTCACCAAAAAAGCAGAACGAAAAGAAGACAACACGAACAATGAATAACTGTGACGTTGCGTGCTCAAAGTATGAGCTGTTGGTCCAACGGCCTTGAGTTTCTCAAGTTCCTTCACGTCGGGGTTAGCACTAGCATTCGTTTGGGCGGCTGACCTTCGCACTGCCACAACACGGGTCGGCTAGCTTCCATTCTTGCTTGGCTTGGGGGCCGACTGCGCCTTCTTCCTTTGCAAGGCTTGCGTGCGTGAGCCAGAGGAACTAGGTCTGACTATCCAGTTCAGCAACTTTTGATTACAATCCAGCGCTCCTTGTGGAGCCCCTCGTGCCTGAGACCGGTACTGTTACTTGTGATCCCTGGCCGATCCTTGGCTGTGTCCCAAAGTCAACGCTCCGGGCCTGACAATCCTGCTCCCCCTGCTTCCCCCCATGATCCTCAGCTCTTGCCCTGTCACAGCTCCGTGTCGGAGATGCGTGAGCATCGTTTTTCGCATCCGGCCACATGTGTCGCCGCAAGCACAGGCCTCCATCTCCACTGCCTGAGAGAGACAGAGAGAGAACAGAGAGACAACAGAGAGACACAGACAGACACGGAGAGACTGAAATCATGAGCAGCAAGTGTCCGAGTCGGAAGCAAAACCGTGCGCGAAAAGAAGATGCAGATCACACACCGCCTACTCCAACGATGCGGTCCACAGGAAGAGAAACTCAGGAAGAATTCTACTGCTAGCTCGGAGTAGTAGGGGGATAGTAGCTTGGACCACCAGAGGTCGTAGCCAACAGTAGAGGGACAACTAACTTGGACAACGGGGGGAGTAGAAGCTTGCCCGGATTGTAGGCGAAGGCCGAGTGATATGTGCGAGATTGGAAACAACATGGGAACAATGGTTGATGAGGTAAGCTTTGGAATTCGGAACTTGCTTCTCAGCCTGATCGGTTTCATGCCCAAATATGCTCAACCAGGCAGGTGTGCATTGACAGCCTTGTTCTGACTCTTCTTCCTATTTTTAATCCTCATTTCCCAAACAGAGTGTGACGTCAATGGTATGAGGGGCCAGGTCAATGTAGGCCTCGAAGCTGTCGTCTAGACATTCGTCGCGGTCTGCTTGTTCAACTCTGTGCATCAAAGACGTCTCATGAAAGCATCACATAGGTGAACTGCATGGAAAGACATCGCCTCGAAGCTGTCGTCGGTCGTCGCTTTTTGGATGTCTGCGCTCACGAAACGCGAAACTTTTGGGCTCACATGGTCTCGCACTGTATGGGGCCTGCGCTGGCATAATCGTTCTCGTGATTCTTATACTTCGTTGGCAGGCAAAAAGTTTAACAAGACTAAGAATATCAGAAATGCCCACAGAGTACTAAAAGCAACCAAGAAAAGTGAGAAGACGATGGCAACTAAGAGTAACGGGCAGAGCAAGAAGCGTAAGAAGAGGATGGAGGGATGAAGAGGACGAAGAGGACGAAGATGGTAAAGAGGGTGACGAGACAAAAATTGTAAGAACAAGAGAGCGCCAGAGTGCTCAAGGAGGCTCGGCCGAGCCTCCTGCAATCACACGTGAGGAGGGAGTGCCAGGAATACTGTGCGAGCGCGTGCCGTTGCAGGATTGCGTTGACCTCTTCTGCACCGAGTGCTTCATCAGGCTGCATCGCAAGGGAAAGCGTTGTTGCCTCAGATTTTGTGTGTGTGCGTGTGTGTGTGTGTGCGCGTGCGTGCACAGCCCTGACTCTGACCTCGAGGGCTCTTTAGCAACCCTTCCACGGATCAATCGGGAGTCCAACTTCAACTGCCAGTAGATGCCGAGCCGTTGCCTAGCGCAGGTGGCATTGCAAAAATCCAACACTTCTTCTATGACAAGCATACATGTGAAAGTCGAAAGGCTTTCCCAACATGCACGATGGAATGCAGCTTGACGGTTCTCTGGAGCCTCTCGTGAGGGATGATGCCTTGCAGTGAGATGACCTATATATTGTTGCTTCATCACGCGATATTCAGAACCTCTTCATGCCTGTCCGATGGTGGGTTCGTATGACATCATGTTAATATTTCCCCCAAGTGATCGAAGCTGTGCGTGCTCTGTGCTTTTCGGGCCTGCCAGCCTGCCCGGGAGATGCTTGGCCTAGCTATTTTTGCAGCCCTAGCATTGCCCAGCGATATTCAGGCCTGTGGCCGCTTGTGCAAAACGAGCTGCTGCTTTTTGTGGTGTTGCTGCCTGGCCGCGCTGGTGAACTCTGGTGCTTGTGCAAAGCCGGAAGGAAACGAACTGGCATGTTTTTCATATCGGGCCGCGCCTCTTGGCCATGTTTCAGCAGTATGCAGGCCTAGCTCGCTTTTGGCATCGCTGCTTGAACACATTTTGGAGAAGCCCAACGAGTGGCGGCATTGCTTACGGGCTTGGTATGCTTTAAGGACTGACTCATCTTGTGGAAGCGGGAGAGGGGGTGCCTTCTTACATCTCGCATGAACATTCCCCAGTGGGTTGGGGGATGGCAGAGCTTTCGTGCTGGCGAGGCGAACACAAACCACTTTGCACAAACCACTTTCCGATATTTTGCGATGCTCCATGGTGCAAGCTTAGCCTGCTTCGCTTACCGCTCACCGCGCCAGGCTTCTAAGAATGCAACCTTCGCAATAGCATTTGTGAACGTCTGTCGCTCGCGCCTTGAGTGGCTTTCGCGTTGTTTCATGTCACCGCACTATGAGTGCCAGAACCCTGAAACAGCATGGCATACTCAGGAATGTACATCGAGATGAGATAGCATGTGTAAACCGCTGGCAATGCAACAGAGAGGTCCACCGACAATCTTGGTGAGTTTTCGCGTGTGCCAACAAGGTCGTCAGCATGTGCACCTGACGATCGTCTTCCAGCTGCAAAAAGTCGTGCAGTAGCAGGGTAGCTGTAAAAGTACGTCAAGTTCACCACATTTGTCGCAACAGGACAACACTGGACAGATCTTTCGCGGAGGATTTCTTGTGCCTCCGGAAGAAGCGCAGGCAGGTTCACACGATGTTTCGGTATAGGCAGGATTTCATCATGTTTTGCATGGAGCAGGTTCTTACAGATCGAGCGCGGTCTACCGCAAAAGCCTCATTGCCGTGCCAAGACTCACGTTCATATCGTTTTTTCCACGGGCAGGATACAATTGCAATTTGCACTGAAGGTGGAAACTGGCCCGTGGGTACCCTTTCGCGATGATGAGCTCAATGTGTATTGGCAGCTGGCTGAGCTTGGGTT